TTACAAGAGTATTGTTGTTAGCAGGGTGAGAATTACAGGGGATTTGATTCTTTAAATTAAATAGTGTAAAAGTTTGTATTAAATAAAAATAATACTTATTGTTATTAAAAATAAATTGATTTAAAAATACATTTACCTGGCACTATATTGGTTCATTATATTGGTACGCCCAGCAAAAAGGTGGGAAAATATTCAATCTAGTACCAATCCGCCCTATATGTGGACTACACACGGCACCTGGCATAGGTGAATCTAATAAACTAAATTGCCCAGAGTGTGTGAAAGGGAGATCGTGTGGGTGTTTGTCAGCACTTACGGTTCTGGGATGTGGTTGGAAGGGCATCCACTGCATAAAACATATGCCAGAGTAGTTGGTGGTTCATTCCGCAGTGGCAATCCCTCATAAAGCAAGGAAAAAGCAAATAGGAAAAAATAAGCAATAAGGAAAGTGAGTGGGTCTCATAGTGTACTCTAGTTATGTTGGATAAATCGTATTTATGAGTTTAATGCAAATTTATTGCACACCACAAAGTCATTTTTATAAGTGGGAAACTGAATCTTTCAAGTTGAGGGGACACATCAGTGAGAAACATGGCAGAATCTGTAATCGAGATATATATATATATATATATATACCACTATCTATCTATCTATCTGTCCGTCCATCCATCCATCCATCCAGCCATCCGTCCATCCATCCATCCATCCAGCCAGCCAGCTAGCTAGCTAGCTAGCTGGTTTTAGGTGGTCATCTCCCAGCCTGACCAGCTAAGACCAGGCTGGAAATGGCCAAAACCCCTCTTGAACCAGGCTGATCGACCAGCTAAAACCAGCCAACCAGCCTAAGCTGGTTTAAGCTGGAATTTTCTGTAGGGTATCTGTCTGTCTATCAGAGGAAGGACATTTTCACAGTATGTCTGATAATATTTTTTCTTCTGGAGAAAGTCTTATTTGTTTTATTATAGGTCAGTGGGTGAAACTCATGGATGCAAAATCAATTATTGTGAAATTCCAATGACAACATAATTGATGCAAAATGTTTGCTCTTGGTTTTCTATAACCAGTCCAGAAATCACATTAAGGTCAAAAGACATGAAGAAAAGGCATAAAATAACCGGCAAGGTTGAATGCCTTGATTTTAAAATTGGCATCAAAACTCAACTATAATGGACAGTCTTATAATCAATCTTTTAAGAAGTTTGAATAAAACAGTCTTCGAATCGATTTTCAAATAACGTTCAAATTACAAATAATACAAATATTCAATACAAATAATGTTTTGACATCAAGGTAGTTTACATGCATAATGGGGACACAAAAGCCAGTGTAAATTGGTTATTTGTTATTAAAGCTTTTAGATAAACAAAACATTTCTGATAATTTTAGTCAAACGGGCATGTATGTATGTGTGTGTGGATGTCAATTGGACATCAAGCTTTTGAAATCAAATAAGTTTGCAATTTTCACGTGTTTGACGTCATGCCTGATGTCATTCTGACATAAAGGTCATTCACCAAAAGTAGGGTACAATGCTATCTTGTGCCAACAAAGGTGACATGAACGCACCTCACATTTGAAATTTATTTATTTAACAGGGACAATGCTCATTAATCAAAAGTACTGTAGAACTGTAAATATGCCAGAGTTAGCCACAAGGGCTCATTTTCATCTGTTGCCCCCTGCCAGATTTTAAAAGGCAACCTAAAATCAAAAAACACATCACACATACAATAACAGTAAAGTTACATACAACAAAAGGATGAAACGTATAATAGGAATTTTTCTAAATGTTAGACAAAAGAATTGCACATTATTACATACTTGCTTTGCTTTTAGACATTTCTTTACCTTGCATTTAAATGTTGAATACTTTGTAACACCTTAAATTAATTGGAAGTGTGTTCCAGAAATGACTGTCTCTAACTGAATAATATATATATATATATATATATATATATATATATATATATATATATATATA